TTTCTGTTGACTGACAGTCGTATGGGTACTCCCTTATAGGTAACTGAGTCTCTTTCTCTTGCTGCTTTTAAGATTCTCTCATTCTCTCTTGCTCTTGGCATTTTAATTATGATGTGTCTTGGTGTGGTCCTCTTTGGATTCCTTTTGTTTGGGGTTCTCTGCGCTTCCTGGACCTGTAAGTCTATTTCTTTCACCAGGTAGGGGAAGTTTTCTGTCATTATTTCTTCAAATAGGTTTTCAATATCTTGCTCTCTCTCTTCTTCTGGCACCCCTATAATTCAAATGTTGGTACGCTTGAAGCTGTCCCAGAGGCTCCTTACACTATCTTCGTATTTTTGGATTCTTTTTTCATTTTGCTTTTCCGGTTGGGTGTTTTTTGCTTCTTCGTATTTCAAATCTTTGACCTGATTCTTGCGATCACCTGGTCTGCTGTTGGGAGTCTGTATAATATTCTTTATTTCAGTAAGTGCATGCTTAATTTCTAGTTGGTCCTTTATCACAACATCGAGGGTCTCACTAGATTTCTTAAGGATCTCAATACATTTATCGGCGGTTTCCATAAAATTCTTGAAAAATCTTAGAACCGTGGTTTTGAACTCTATATCCAGTCGTTTGCTGTCCTCCATTTCTGTCATTTGTGACCTGTTTCTTTGTCTTCGCATTTTGTCTGCTTCCCTGTGTTGGTAGAGTGGTTTTGTGTGCTAGGTGTCCTACAGGGCCCAGTGGCTCAGCCTCCCCAGTTACCTGAGGTGGACACTCTTGGTGCACCCCCTTGTGGGCTTTGTGCACAGTCTTGTTGTAGTTATGCCTTGATTGTTTTAGGTGTCACTGGGAGGAATTGACCTCCAGGCCAATTGGCAGTGAGAATCAGCTGTGTCTGCAGTGGGAGAACTTCTGTGCTGAAGACACCCTTCTGGGGCAAGACTTGCTTCAGTGGGGCTTTGGTGCTCACTGAGTCTGCCCCCTGAGTGTGTTCCTTATGAATCTGAGGAGTTGTAATCTGGGTGGTCCCACTCTGACGTTCTGGATGATGTCCGTTCCGTCTTTTAGTTGTATTTTTGAAGTGGTTGTTCGAGGCAGCAAACTCCGGTGTTAACCTATGCCGCCATCTTGGTTTCCCCTCAAGTTTAGCTTTAAAGGAGAAATCTTATGGTATGAATTGTATTTTTTCACAGAAGGTCAGGGACTCTCATAATGTTGGTATTTGTAATTATACCACATGTTTTTAAACGTCTCTCTGATACGGATATACATTCATTATTTGTTTGTTTGTTTGTTTAATTTACCTGATGCTGAAGTTTTTCTTTTTTTTTAAATTATATTTTTTATTGTTGACAGTATTACAGATATCTCCCATCTTCCCCCCTCCATCCTCCTCCTCCCAGCCCCTACCCACGCCCCCTAGGTCGGATATACTCCTATTTAATCATCTCTTCCTGGTGAGCTTTTAAAGATAATCCCAATGTTCTTTCTGCTACAAATCATGCTGCAGTGAACGTTTCTGTGCTGGTGGTTTTCACCCAGGGTGACCCGCTCAGCCCCGTGGACACGTGCAGTGTCTGGAGACATTGTTGGTCAGCACAACTGGACGAGGGATGAGCTAAGGCATCTGGTGGGTTGAGCCAGGGATGCTGCTGAGCACTGCAGTGTGCAGGACAGTTTCCACAGCAAAGAGTTTCCCTTTCACCACAGCAGTGCTGACGGTGAAAACACTCTCTCGACACACCTGTGGGACGGCCTCTGGAGATGTTACAAGAAGTAGAATTCTTGAGTCAAAGTTGATAAGCTTTTTAGCTTTGATAGGTCCTGCAAGGGTGTTCTACATTCCCACCAAAAGTGTGGGTGTGCCCAGAGTCCCCATCCTCTTGCCAATACTTAATTTTATCTCTCAAAATAATTGCAGGTCTGGAAGAAAATACACCTTATTTTAACTGGTGTGTATATAATTACTGGTGAGGTCTGACACATTGCATTAATTGGCCATTTGCTTTTCTTTGAAGTTGAATTGCCTTCTCTTCAGGTTTTGTTGTGGACTTTCCTCTATGAAGGAGGCAAAATACAGGGTGAGCTTTGCAAAAGGAAACGGGCAAGTGAAATTTGCTCATCCGATGGACAGCGAGAGCAAACCATGGAGTAAGAGTTCCATCTGGTTTGTGGGACTCCAGCTCCGCCCTCTTGGCATGCGGTCCAGGTCCTGTGTGGTTCCGAGCAGAGAAGAAAACCTTTGTCTGGACGAGGCGCTCCGATGGGAGACGCTTGTTCTGTGCCATCGGAAAGGGAGCCTGAAGCAGGTGCAGCTTGGGCAGAATGAAACCAGGTCCCTGCTGGGTCAGAGTGAGGAGAGAGGGGAGTGTTCCCGGAATTAAAATCCATCTCTAAGGCATCCCGTTGACAGTGTATCAGGAGCTTATGCTCTTGAGGGAAGTGACTCATCTCTTGCCCAGAGCCCTGACTTGGGTGTGGTCATTGTAAAGCTCTGTGAATGCGTGCCTCACAGCCTCGCTTTCCTCTCCTTTCACCCACCCTAAGGATCGATGTCCACCGTAAAGAGAACGCAGGCGCTGCTGAGAAGTCCATTACTATCCTCTCTACCCCGGAAGGCACCTCTGCGGCTTGTAAGTCTATTCTGGAGATTATGCATAAGGAGGCCCAAGACATAAAATTGTGAGTAATGAGTATGAACCCGTGGAAAGGTTGATGTCCGTGCTGTTTTGCTTTGAATTGACACGGTTCTTGGGGATTGCCAACAAACCCCGGGAGCTGCTGCCCCAGGAGGCCCGGGGGTTGGCATGTTGATTTGGTGTAAAGCCTAAGTCCTTAACATATTTTCCTTTGTGTTTGGCTGTGGGGTGAGTGGCATTAGTGAGGACAGTCCAGCTGTAGAAGGTGGCTGGGGGACATAAGCCCACCTGGGGTCCAGGAGCACCCCTGGATTTACCCACCGCAGGGCCCAAGTCCTCATGCCGTGGCTTTGAGCTCCCTGAGGTGGGAACCCTAATCCTGTGCTGAGATAAGCGGGGGATTTATTTGGATATTCCAGGTTGGAAGTCTTAACTATCTTTCCCACAGGAACTTTGAGTGGAGGTTGGGTTTTGTGCTACATTCAGTCTTCAGCGCAGTGCTGGGTATAGAACCGAATCCAGAGTAAGGTGCTGGAGTTAGCCTGGGACCTAATACAGCATTTAATTTGTAGGGACCTTTAAATATATTAAATATATTTTAGTTATAGGGTTAGTTATATGGTGCTATATTGTAAGATTCTAATTCTTTTTTTGTTTTGTTTTTGTTATAGAGAACAATAAAGAAAAGGCCCACCACCCAAAACCCCAATGGTGTTTTTATTTATTTATTTAAAATATATTGTTATTGATTTCAGAGAGGAAGGGAGAGAGAAAGATGGGAGATAGATGAGAGAATCATTGATTGGCTGCCTCCTGCACGCCATACACTGGGGATTGAGCTCACAACCTGGGGATGTGCCCTTGGCCAGAATCAAACCTGGGACCCTTCAGTCCGCAGGCAACGCTCTATCCACTGAGCCAAACTAGCTAGGGCATGTTTTTATTTTTTTATTTTAAAACAATTTTAATACATATATTTTTATTGATTTCAGAAAGAGGAAATAAGGGAGAGAGAGGTAGAAACATCAGTGAGAATCATTGATCAGCTGCCTCCTGCATGCCCCCTACTGGGGATTGAGCTCGAACCCTGGGCATGTGCCCTGACTGGAATTACGACATGACCTCCTGGTTCAGAGGTCAATGCTCAACCACTGAACCACACCAGCCAGGCCCAATGACGTTTATAAACAATGGTATGTGGCCCTAACCAGTTTGGCTCTGTGGATAGAGCGTCGGCCTGCGGACTGAAGGGTTCCCGGTTCGATTCCGGTCGAGGGCATGTACCTTGGTTGCAGGCACATCCCCAGTAGGAGGTGTGCAGAAGGCAGCTGATCGATGTTTCTCTCCCATCCATGTTTCTAACTCTCTATCCCTCTCCCTTAAAAAAATCAATAAAATATATTTAAAAAACAAACAATGGTATGTGTTTGGGAAATTCAGAAAGGTGCAAATGAAATGTGGACCCCCACCCCCACCCCCCGCTCTCACACTCTTCCTCAGAGTGTAACACCGCTGAGTTCCTTGTTTCCTTGTCTAAACTGTGCCTGTGTTGCCAGGTATGGAGTTTAAAATTTATACTAAAATCATACTATTTGCATTTGTACACTGTGTTCTGGGGTTGGGGATTTAGGAACAGGAATTTGAGTAGGAGCTGTTTTCAAAGCTAAACAGAATCCATCATTGGAAGGTAGTCCCTGTGATGAATAAAAGGAAACCGTTTTTAAAAATTAACTTCTATCCAGATACATATTAATGATTTTACCCCCTGTTCACGCATTGCTAGAATGTGGCTGATGGTCGGCAGTTCAAACTCTCCTGGCATCATGCTTCCTAAGTGGTGGGTAGGAAGTAAATGTTTAATGAACAAATATTCTCTTTTTCCCCGAGAGCAGGGTTACTTGCCCCGATTTCATGGCCTTTTTTTTTTTTTTTTTTTTTACAGCACAGAAGAGCTTCCCTTGAAGATTTTAGCCCATAATAACTTTGTAGGCCGTCTTATTGGTAAGGAAGGAAGAAATCTTAAAAAAATCGAGCAAGACACAGACACTAAAATCACGATATCTCCGTAAGTGCTGCCTTGCTTGCTTTTGAATAAGAAAATTTCAAGCGCTGTGTTTCACTGGAGTTTCATGTTAAGCATAGCCTGTCCCATCTGACTGAGCCAGCCGGCACCGCCCTGCTTATACTTCGTTTCTCAAACTCAGTCCACTGTCTGCTGTCTGTCTCTAACCCACATCGAAAGATTCTCTAATCCCACCAAAGAGGCAGGGCTGTACATTTGTATTTCCTAGCTGGCGTTGGTCAGGTTTGCTGACCTATATTCCCCAAGTGCCTAGAGAGAACCCAGGTTATTACCCATGGATGTGTAAGACAATATCCCAGCGAATGAGAGCTTATGACAGTGGGAAAGGTTTGTGGGTCACCAAGTCTCTGTGGGTCAGGGATTCAGGAGCAGCTCGGCTGTGGTTTTGCTCAGCTCTCATGTTGCTGGCAAGTCAGTGCTGGCTGGTGGTGTGAGGCCTCAGCTCCTCACCACCGGGGCCGCTCCGCAGGTTGCTCGGGTGTCCCTGGGACACGAGACACGGCAGCTGCCTCCTGCCAGTGTGAATGATCCGAGAGCAGGACGGAAGCGGCAGTGTCTTTATAACACAGCCTCAGAAGTCGCAGCCGCTCTTACTATTCAGTGTGGGGAGGGGTCATCCTGGAGGCTGGTACCACACCTGGGGCCACAGGCTCTGGAATGATTTGGAGAGGTTTTCCTTTTTCTGAGCGTGACTGTCCCTAGTTCCCATCTGAGTATCAGAAAAAAGATAAGGTGGGAAGAGGCGGATGGACTAAGGAGAGCTGAGCACTGGGTGTGTGTAGCAGGGAGCTCTCAAAGCAGGAGATGGAAAGGAAGGAGGACGGTCCTGCCTGACTGTAAAGAAATAAAAAAACCACTAAGTGGTAAATATAATGCATGATCCTACCCTGTCTTGATGTTTATGCTCAGAAAAGGGAGGGTTTTAAGTGGGGGAAAGATCTTAAAAGCTATTCTAGAAGCAGCTATTTTGAAAATTGTAATATAAAAGCTTGGCAGGGGCAAGGTGGGTTGAAAATGGAGATGAGAAATACACTTCTTTAAACAGTCTAAGACAAATAGTATGTCGATGTTTACATTTTTAGCAAGTTGGAGAAAAAAAGGAATAATACCCTGTTCATCTGTCTCAAGTTTAGCATACGGTATTCTGCTAGTCGTGAAAATGAGAATTGTAACTCTGGGAATCTGAAGGAGAGCCATACCAATAGGCCATATCCTCCCACTCTGCGTCCTTACTTTCCATGGGACTGGCTCAGGCGTCGATGCCTCATATCATCGGAAGGCTTGGAAGCTTCAGCAGGACCTGGGTCAAGCAGGGAGTTTCTGAATATTGCTGCAGCATTCTCATTTTTTACTTTTCTAAATGGTCATCCAGGGACCCTTTTAAAAAATTTATGTAGTCAAAATGGATTGAAAAATGTTTTGAAAAATAAAACATAAAATTAAAAAGTAAAAAACAAAATAAAAAGATGGGTTGAGTTACATGATTTCCTCCAGCGTACTTTATCTAAATTCTAAGCTTACTGGCAAAGAGGAAGTATATACATGTGAACTCTGGCTTGCCTTTTGAAACATTTCCATGCTTATTCTTTGCCTGGTGACCCAGAAAATGCAGTTGCTGGAGAATGCCACTTATGCCTAGAACTGGTCAGTACAGACTGGGAACATACTCATTAAAGGTTATGTGCATCTGGTTCTTGGTTTCTGCTAAAACTATATCCTTCCAATCATGTACTTTATATTTTACTGGTAAATTATGAAAGTGGTTCAACCTTAAGTGGCTGAGAAGCACACTGTGTTTAAACCATGAATTTAATTGAACTACGTGCACCCAGGAATTTTTATTGAGAAGGTGGGAGGGGAAGTGTTTTCTCTCCTCTGGCTTTACAGTTCTTGGATTTGTGTCTTTTGAGGCTCTCCTTTTTCATCATGTCTAACCGCCCACTTTTACAACTCGCCAGCCCCCTCATTTGGGTGTTAATTGCCATCTGTGGCTGAATGTTACTACTATCTTCCTCCCATAATTTCCGTTCTCTTTCTCTCCCTCCGTTTTCAATCTGCAGATTGCAGGAATTGACGCTGTATAATCCGGAGCGCACCATCACAGTGAAAGGCAGCGTGGAAACATGTGCCAAAGCTGAGGAAGAGATAATGAAGAAAATCAGGGAGTCTTATGAAAACGATATTGCTTCTATGAATGTTAGTTTTAATACCAAGGGCGTGTCTTTATTTTGATGAAGTTAAAAGATGTTTTCAGTTGCATTAATATTGATTTCTTTAATGGTGTTGTCATTAGATTAGGTTCTCATTGGTTTTTAGCACCATAGGGAAGTGCCCTGGAAAACACGGGCTCTGACAGTAGGCTTGGCTATCTCTGTGATTTTGGCAAAGTATTTAGTCTTTGAGACTTAGCTCCCTTATCTGTGAGGTAAGACTAATACTTTCCTTAAAAAGGTTATTATCTCCTGCACAACGTTAATTTGAAGGAAATTAGTACAGTAGAGGTATGTGAATTGTGTTTGAATCCCAGTTCACCTGTGTATTAACTGCAGCTCTGTTTTCTTGGACAACTTAATTTGGTCTTTCTGAGCATCAGTTTCCTCATCTGTAAAATGGGGCTACTGCCTACATTGCATGCCTGTTAGAATTACAGTAGATAACAGTGCATGTAAAACTACTGTTATGAATATAAATTTAAAACTTGGTTCCTTGGAGATAAAAATAATCTGTGTAGCGACTAGAACATAGTGAATTGTTGACGTTCCTTAATGGATGGAATGGTGCTCACGATGTAACATTTGTAAAGTTCATCTTCAATTTTAACGTAAATGATTGAAAAAAAGATTGTCCTCAATTGGGCCTGTCATCTGAAACATTACACCTAACAGAAGGGAAATGTAAAGATGTTATCACCTTTGTGAGGGGAGCTTAGAATGCTAATCACTTTAGTCCACTTGACTGCCTTCCTACCTTCACATTGTCACTGCTCATCCAAATGTGCGATTAACTGGGAGTAAGTCCAACTCTATAGGGCTTTTAAAAGGATTCTCAAGTACGCACAAGTCTCAGCTCTGATCTCCACCTCACTTCCTCAGCCCTTATAAATTAAACCAAAACAAATGCCCCTTCCAGGGTAAGTTTAGTTGTGGGAGCTACATGCAGAGGACCTGATTTCCAAAGGCCTTGACTTTTAGGCCTTTAGACCCATGACTCCAAATTTTATCCAGAAGTAAAGATCTCTTAATAGCTCGTTCTCTATATCTGGTTTGCTTTTCAGTGAACAAATCTTGTTCGCTTACTTCTTCAACGGGTGCACGGTTTTGTCTGCCTGTACCTTGTGCTACAGTATACGGTGTGTCTTTGAGCTCTGCGAGCTGCCCTGAAGGACAGGAAGGCTGTGTCCCTGCCCTGAGAAACTCCGTGTGGCTTCAGATCAAGGAGGCGGCAAACAAGCACACGGATTTTAAATACCAAGAATATAAACAGATATAAACTATCTGCTCAAGTGTGGTCACAGGAAACATCTGCTTTGTTCTAAAATTTTTGTGTCAGATGATTTTAACTAGACAAGAGGTCACAATCTGAATATTGTCATGTATAAATGCTCACTTATACATGATCTTTTTAATTTTACCATTGCAGCTTCAAGCACATTTAATTCCTGGGTTAAACCTGAATGCCTTGGGTCTGTTCCCGCCCACTTCAGGGATGCCACCTCCCACCTCAGGGCCCCCTGCAGCCATGACTCCCCCTTACCCACAGTTTGAGGTAAGACGATGCGCCTCGGCTTTCTTTATGGTTGAGCGGGGGAGCATTGCTGCCTTTGAGTGGTGTGATGTGAGCTGTTTGGGGGAAATCTCAATGTAAAACCTGGTTCCCATGTGATCTGGAATTAGTGTAGAGCCAGCACACACTTTCTGGTTCCAGTCAATAGGACCTTCTTTTCTGTTCCTTGTAGACACAGGACTTATTACTGGGGCTTTGGGGTGGCCGGCACAGTTGTCAGCATGTGCTTTCAAAAGTCAAAAGTTTGAGACTTTGCAGAGGGGGGAAGAGGTTACTTATTTTTAAATATTGAAGTAAAGGATTTTTAAAAGTCTTCCTTCATCTTTAACTTTATCTGGAAGTTAATTGCTTTGGAAGATCACTAAAAACTGGACTTTTTCATTTTGAGTGTTTGTACTTTTTAAAACTATGAACTCAGTTTTGTGTGCAAATGTTACATAGCTTTTATTTTGTAAACAGGTTATCCTATATAATAAAAGGCTAATATGCAAATTGACCGAATGGCGAAATGACCAGTCCCTTTGATGTGCACTGACCTCCAGGGGGCAGATGCTCAATACAGGAGCTGTCCCCTGTTGGTCAGTGTGCTCACACAGGGGGAGCACTGCTCAGCCAGAAGCCAGGCTCACTGCTAGCGAGTGCAGCGAAGGTGGCGGGAGCCTCTCCTGTCTCCACGGCAGCGCTAAGGATGTACGACTGACGGCTTAGGCCCGCTCCCCAGGAGTGGGCCTAAGCCATCAGTCAGACATCCCCGAGGGCTCCCAGACTGCTAGAGAGCGCAGGCTGCGCTGAGGGGGGACACCCCCCCCCCCCCCCCGCCAGTGCAAGAATTTTGTGCACCGGGCCTCTAGTTAAGAAATAAACCTTATTTTTATATTTGCTTTTTAAGAATAGCATTTTTCCTGAGGTCAGAAAGAGGAGACCAGTGATAGTATGAAAATAATTGCAGCATAGTAGACACCTTATCCAATAATACTTTTTGAAAGTAATTTATATTATCAATTATAATTGGGGGTAGACAATCATGTGAAATAAAATTAACAACGTTCTAGGGTCTTCCTTCATGCTTTTTTTTTGTATCTCTCCCTTCCTGTTTGGCTTTCTTTTTATCATATAACGTTTTGAGTGGTATCTCCTATGCTAATTCAGGGACTTGTCTGGGTGAAATAGGTTGGGGGTTCCACCATCACTCTGCCTAGAATATGTGTAGAGTGAAATGCCATTGGAATTCTACAGAGAACACAGGTCGCTGAGGTTGTCCATATTTTCTCTCTAAGAATGGAATTCCCTGAAACCTCCACTGTTGGGTGTGCGTAGCTTTTGCTTTCTTCTTAGAAAGCAAAATGTTTCTGCCTTGACTGTCAGCAGCATTTGCATCTTCCCTGCAACTTACCTGCCACTCCCACATGTTTGGGCTTGGAAACAATATGACAAAGCCCATCAATCTAAGGATAGGCCTCAGAGTCCCAGCTCCATGTCATGTGAACAGACTCACTGTGCCTTAAGTGAAACTGTCCACTACAGCCAAAGGTGGTGGAAGTAGCTGATGTGTTTGACCTTGATGTTAACCGGGGTAGGGGAAGGAGCCCTGCAGGCGAGAGCCCAGGTCTAGCCCAGCTCTGCCCTGGGTTTGTGTCACCATAGGTCAGTCTCTTCTTCGCTTTGGGTTTTTCTAACCTGAACAATGAAGAAACTGAACTAGATGAGTAATCTCGAAAGGCTCTTTTTTAGGTCACACACTTCTAGTGTTTAAAGAATTCAATAATGTGAAAAGTTGGAGTGGGAACTTGAGAGTATATGGACTTACCTCTGATAGGCTTCCTACAATCTTGATTACAAAAAGGTGCATTTGTCATATGGCTGAGGTTAGGGCAGATGTGTCCCTGACAGTTCTCTATAAAATTACATTTATTGAAAGCTACTAGGAGCCGATTCAAAGTAACTCTGTGCTGTAGAAGCTCTTCTCTAACCTCCACTTCTGCTAGTTGCCCTAACCAGCTTTCTCTTTGGGTAAGTCACCTAACTTCTCTGTTCCTCATTCTGTTTCTCTCTGCTGGTTGCATGTCATGTTCCAGTCAGTAAAGCCTTTCATACTACGAGTGGTAGCATGTCAAAACATTCTTGGACATCATCATCATCTATACTTCAGTAGCAAGAATTCCTAAATTTAATTGCTAGGTATCTATTTTTTAAGCATTCAAATAAAAGAATATGAATATTCGTTGGATGTAGTCCGTTTTCTGATTATACAGTTTTGTGTATTGGGTTTCTATGTTGTTAAAAAATTGTTTTAAGAGGAGGGAGATCATATTAAGAACTTATACTTCTGAAGCACTTTTATAATTTGAAATGTCTGAGTGACTTAAACGAGTAGCAATTTTATTTTAAAAATGGGAGAAGGAGGTCAATGATCTTTTTTAAATTGTGGTCTTTGGTTCTCCTGAGACTTTAAAACAAAATCAAGTAGGTGCTGCCCTAGCCAGTTTTGCTCAGTGGATAGAGCATCATCAGCCTGCGGACTGAAGGGTCCTGGGTTTGATTCCGGTCACGTGCATATGCCTGGGTTACGGGCTCGATCCCCAGTAGGGGGCATGCAGGAGGCAGCTGATCAATGATTCTCATTATTGATGTTTCTAGCTCGCTCTCTCCGCTCCCTTTCTCTCTGAAATCAATACAAATAAAAATAATATGCATATATATTGAAAAAACCAAGTAGGTGCAATTAGAAGCAGCCAATGAGAACAGGAAAAGATGCAGAGGCTGCCAGCCGGAAGGCACAAACACTTCAGAGGGCAAGAGCTCAGAACCCCTATGGCCTGGTGGTTCAAGGGCCGGAAAAGACATTCTCACTCTTAAAGGGATAAAATGTGGAGTTTTAGCAACCCATGTTCTCTGAAAAATTCCAATGGGCATTTTACTCTACGTGTATTCTAGGCAGTGATAACATGGAATCCCCAACTTTAAACCGAACATTTCTGATGACATTGGTGTACCAGGTACCACCTAGCACATTAAGTGCTAAGAAGAAAGGCAAATCTGTCCACCCAGCTGGGAAGGTTGACAAATTATGTATATATTGCATGTGTTTGCCGAAGATAAGTGTGATCTTGTGGTTTTTCTATAGATTGTAACCTACTGCTAACTCATCTCTCTATTCATCTTGGGCCTCAAAGAATGTGTCAGGAATTAGCCATAGAAGTAGAAAATGGAAAGGAGATGTATTTTTGTAATCTACCTTTTTCTTCAAAATGGAAGAAATCTTTGCTTTTGCAATTGCCTTTTCCTCTCACAAGCACACTGTGGACAGTCCTCTCATATATTTGGTATATATTTCTACAAACTTTGTCATTATAGGTGATTATTAATGAGAACATCGCACTATTTTGAACTTTTCTCCTCAAGTACATTCTCCTTGATGTTAACTACAATATCATCATCACTCTTCAGAAATTTGACTGAACACTATTTGACATGCAGGCCATGTCTAAATTTCCATAGTTACCCCAACAATGTTCTCTATATCTCTTTTCAATAAACCCAATCAAGGATCATGCATTGCATTTAATTGTCATATCTTTAGTCCTCCCTTTTTTTTTTAACAGTACTCACCTTCAGTGCCTCGCTTTTTTCTTCCTTATGGTATTGACAAATCCGGGCTAGTGGTTTTAGCGAATATCTCCTAATTTGGATTTGATTGACTGCCTCAGATTAGACCTTTTATTGAGGCAGGAATATCTTGTCCCAATGGGAAACAAGTGATGTCAGTGTCTCGTTATTGGTCATGTTAAGTTTGATCATATGATCAAGGCCAGGTCTGTTTGATTTTTTCATTATAAAAATACCTTTCCCAATTGTGATTAAGAAGTAATCAGTAGTACTTTGGGATTGTGTGTCTTTCACAGCAGTGGGTTGAATATCCATTGCTGACATTTGCCCAAAGCATGTGACTGCCTTAATGTCTTCTTTTACATTCATTAGTTGACAGTCTTCTATGAAATACAGCTTCCTCTGATCCATATGTTAAGGGTGTGTGTGTGTTTTTGTTAATTACATTAGAACTTCCCAGACCTTTTGAATTAGAATCCTCCCCTTCCCCAGGCACAGGGTAGGGAGTGGAGGTGAGACCTAGGCATTATTATTTTGGAAAACGCCATAGATGACTCCCCTGTGTAGCCAAGGTTAACTCAACAGCTGCCCTGTTTCTTAACTGTGCCCCACCTTGGCCTTAAATGAATCAGAATCTCAGTCGGAGTAGATGGAGGCTCAGAGCTTGTGGTTTTGTAAGGGTCCTCAGGAGCTTTTTGTTGCCCATTCATTGTCAGGAACTGCTAGTCTGTGGAGGGTGGACTTAAATGTTGGAAAAGTGTATCTCCTATCAAGACTAATGCGTGGGAGACAATATTTAGGATAAGCATAAACACACCACTCATATGTCCCTCTTTCTAACTTGTTTGAGGCTTTACTTTAAAGCATAGTGAGAAAACGTCCCACCCCACGCCCCCCCTTTTCTCTCACCACCTGTCATTCCAACCCATAGGCAACTACCAGGCCAAAGCTGTCTGTGGGATGCTGCCATATGTCTGTTTTCATGCTTCTAGATTTTGGCATGCTATATCATCGGGATTAGTTTGGCTGTGTGTTTGGAGTGAAAAAAAATGTAGTTAAAATGAATTTTTCCTTTTTTAAGAGAAGAGTCGGAGGGCAGATAATCCAAGTAGTTCTGGTGGTAGTTCTGCTATATCATCTAGGGCCGGCCGCCTGTTGGCTTAGCACACCGTCCCCTGGTCCAGGGTGATCGCTCAGGCTCCATTGAGTCTGATTCCAGCCAGCAAGGATGAAGGATCAGAATTGGAAGTCACCTCATTTAAAGAGGCTGCCTGAAGGTAGCTTTCCACACGTCCATTGGTGTCCTGTTTGCTAGAACATAATACCTGTCCATTTCGACCTCCAAGAGAAGCTGGGAAACTGAGTCTACAACTAAA